AAACTGAACCACAGGAAGTTCCATCTGAACCTGAGAAAAAACTTCTTCACTGTGAGGGTGACAGAGCATTGGAACAGGTTGCCCAGAGAGGTAGTGGAGTCTCCTTCGCTGGAGATATTCAAAACCCGTCTGGATGTGATCCTGGGCAATATGCTCTAGAGGACGCTGCTTGAGCAGGGAGGTTGGGCTAGATGATCTCCAGAGGTCCCTTCCAACCTCAACCTTTCTGTGATTCTGTGATTCTGTGATACCCTTACAATGGAATTGATTGTCCTCTGGGGATACTGGTCTCCCTCCGTGACTATAAAGAGCTTCCACAACTAGCTAAGACTAAGCTGATGCTAATTTTTAGCCAGTTCAGGTTAGGTAAGATGGACTACCTATTTGATGTGCCACATAGCTGCAGGTTAGATTAGCCTGTAGAAACTAGCTGCATAGTTAATAGAAAAAGGCAGTCAGTAGATAAGCAGTGGTAATAAATGCAGAGCATGGCAGTTAGGCAATAGCAGTTTGGCTCATAGTTTTGAAGCTCTCAGTTACCTTCTGGAAGGACCTACCCCTCCTCAGAGACCCTCCAGGGCATCTGGGCTCCTCACCCTGCTAATACAGTAAAGGTGCCTAAATCCAGAGAGTGTGAACACCCCCTTAACAAAATATCAATGTGAATTTGCTGATCTAGCTTGAGAAGAGGCACAATCTAAACTGAAAAAGGCACTTTTACACCCAAAGAAGTCTCTATACACTCAAAGATATTAGGGGTGTGGTTGCACCAGCTTAACTTTGTCTATATAACTGGTAAAACTTTCCCATGTCAACAGGGCTTTATCTTCAGGAAATCTAACTGTACAAGGGAATGTGAGTTCAAGGGGGGTCTAAATTACTGTATGACCCTCTTAAATTACAGCCAACCATGAATTTGGCTGTAGTGCTTTGAGTACAGGAAGCATTATAGCCCTGCTTAGCTATGGTTCTGTTTTTGTCAGAGCTCAAGCCTAGCCTACGGAGGGATAGCACAGAGAGCAAAAATATGCAGCAGTTTGTCAGAAGGAAGCCAGACAAAAATTGCCTTCAGTGGCGAAGGATAACAGGGCTCCAGCAATACCTCCCTGGAGTGCCACAAAGTGAATCACCAACTCGGCCGTCAGTTCATTAGCTTTTACCACTGAGGTTTCACTCTTCCCTCACTCGAGCAGGGCAGGCAGGTGTCTCGCTCCTGTCTAGCTGAGAGCCTTTGCCCTCACAACTTGATTTCCTCTTCTGCACAGTCTCTGCTTGAATGCCTAATCCTGTGTTTAGGACACTGTGCTCTGTTGCTATGGAAGTTATTGGGATGTCAGAGATTTAGCATAATGACCTCACTGTAGGGCTAGAGGTGGGGGTAAGGGGGAAGATTAACCGTGAGTGAAGCCAGCGTTGTAAATGTGATTACTTGATTACTAGCATGGATGGAAATATACTCTGAGACCAAAATATAGCCCTAAGAAAAGACCAAAAAGTGGTCTGAGCAGTGTTCTGTCTTTCAGCTTCTCTTTGGATTAGTTTTTCTGAGAGATACAGAGCTTGTGCTCCTACTCTTTCAGGTTTCCCAAGACATTACTGTTCCTTCCTTCCTCCCATCCAGCCCCTCACACACTTCCCAAACCAACTACTCTTGTAGGTGTGGTAAAGCAAGTTAAATTCTAGAGGACTTTTGCATGGCCAAGACATCAGTTTCCCTTCTTCGTTGTTGGAGTCTGCTGTTTAAGCCCTTATTGATTGTCTTGATTTGTAGAAGTGACGTCTCTAAGTCCCTATCTTGTTTGGTAATTTTCACTCTAAATCTCAGCTCAAATCGCCTCATGATAAATCCCTTTGCCTCATCATTCTCACCCCATCTGCTCTCCCTGAGGAGACCTTTATTTTCCATCTTCCAAGCTCATCTCTTCGAACAGTAAGGATGCTGTCAGTTGCTGTGAAGATTTGTAGGGCACTAGATCTTATACTTTAAACCTTTAAATACATTTATCCAGGTAAAATATTTTGAAGCAAATATATAAGCTCTGAAGGTTCACTAGCATACGGCATAATGATTAAAGCAGCCAGATACCAATGATTTTCGTTTTCCTCATTATCATTATTTTAACAATATAAAATCTACTTTCCATGTATCAGTTTACTTGAAAAAACATTTTAGTTAGTTTATCCCTCATCAGTTTGATCATTCTTATTACTAGAGTAATGGCTGAACGCAAAAGTCATAAATTGCACTGTTAAATACCCTACAGCACGGATTCTACCCTGGTTTGTCTACAAGAACTTTTCTGATTAAGCTTTCTTTCAGAGTAAATACAGCATCAGACTTACCAATTTTATTCTTTTCGTATGTCAGGCCTCATTAGTCACCAGAGAAGTACAGATTGCAAAAAATAGCTAAGGCTTTTTTTCTAGATTGCGTTTTCCTGAGTCTCCTGAGTTTTGTTTCACGGATGAATTACAACACTATTTGATTCTTTGCTCATCCAACTTCATTTGTCCATTGTCTATGTATAATATGAATCATTCACAGAATTTGCACACCAGGATTCCTTCCTACTGTAAGCTTTTAATATCTGCCACTCTTTCAAAACACAACTGACAATTTTTTTTCCAAACAGACTACACTTTTATTTCATTTTTCATTAGTTAGGAATGAGCGAATTCTGAGATTTTCTGATAAACATGACAGAAGTGTCAAGCCTGTATTACCATTCCCCTACCATGCAGCTGGGCCCTGGCAGGGTTAACAATGACAGGAAAATACAGAGAAGAAATCACAGGAATCTGTGATAGAAAGTGACTATGAAATCATCCAGTCCATCTTTTGCAAATATAAGCCTGTTCCCTACAGTATATCAGTGTACTAGTGCTTTAAATGATCTTTTTTGTAAATGAGGAGGAAGCATCTAGAGTTAACAACAGATGTGACCCCAGAAGGAGGAATAGGTGGCTTAAGGGTAGGCCTGTGCAACAGCCTTGCTGAAGGATGGCCAGAGCCCCTCACTGAGACTAGCTAATTACAAGTGGATTACTGTGTCCTGAAACGTACAGGCTTTCTCAGTATATTTGTTCTCAATCTTCTCTCCCTTTGGGAGGAGCACTGGCATGTTAGCTTATTCCAGTTTCTGAAATACACTCTTATTTCCAGCTTGGACCTTTCTTGAAGCTGTCAAATTTTGCTGTTAATTACAAGTTGTTCTTCCTTGAGGGACAAATTCAGCAGCACGGCTGTATGGCATAAGAATGAACCCACTGACTTTGGCTCCTTTAGTACTTCAGTTCAACTTCTTCTTTACAGACATCTTCTCTATTGCAGAACTGAGGTAATAAGAGCTACCAAATTTAACTGCACAACACAACTCATGTGCGGTGAAATAAATGTGGTAAACCACCAATGATTCATCATTTACTTATTGCAGAAAACAAACAGGTTTTCTTCTGAGTCACATACATGCTGAGAATTTTTTCCTTCTCAAGCAAAACAGAAAACATTGTTATTTCAAGGCTGGGTGAAAAAAGTTCAGATAAAATAAGAACTCCGTGAATCTTTGTTCAAATCTGGAACCTGAACATAAACTTATTTGATGTTCTGAGATGTTTAGGAATTTCGTTTTCCACCCCACGATGCTGCAGGGCAATAGCATGTTGTGCAACTGGAGGCCACAGAGGGTGGTGGAGTATGAATATGCTGGGATCCCTATGGAGGTCATGAGAAACCCTTTTGCCCTTTCCACTTCTGCTTTTGGAGAATCTGAGTGTGTTTTTAATAACAATGCAAACATGTTACATTCAGAACTGACCTGAGATCTGAGTCCTTGTGAAATCTGTCCACTTGGTAATCAAATGCCAGTAAAGGAGATCATCTGCTTCTTTAAAAGAAGGAAAGACTCATTGAGCTTGGTTCTGATTGTCAGTCAGGTTATTTAACCATTTCCTGGATCACACTGGAGAGAGATAATAGCACAGGAAGGAAAAAATATTAAAAACTAAATAAAAGGACAAGTGGAATAGCTGTTAAAAAAATTGCATTTAGCCAGGATTTTAGCGAGTTAGGAATATAAACTGTGTTAGGTTTTTTTGCAGTAGAAAAGTACCATTTCAGACATACATGCTGTGGACTTCAGACTATGAGTTGCGTATGCATTTTTTCCCTTTTGCTTAAGACACTTGCACGTCTCTTGCTCGCCACGTACTTCAATATTAAGTAGAGATGAGTGTGTTGCGCTAAAGAGGTGGGTGATGCACATCACCAAGAGAAATTCAATATGGGTTTTGCAGAGGAAGATTATGAAGAAAAGCAGCTAACATTGTCAACAAGTTCATACAAGAAATCCTTGAAAAATAATGGGCTCCCAAACACCATCTGAGATTCAGGAACTGTTTCAGTGGCACCTTCAGGATAAATATTGTTGTCAATATCCAAATCTACAATAGAAGTGCCATAGTCTAAGCTATAACTCTGCCAGCACATGGCTGTTTCTTAAAGGTGTAAATAAATTAATAAATTGTGTCTTTTGGAGTGCATTAGCTTAAGCACTGGACAAGCTGTTTGCCTCTACAGATACCATAGAAAAGTTATGGGCTTTGTGTCACGGCACTTGTTTAACATCATCTTTACACATATTATATTTTCTGCACTACTAGTGAGCTGACACATTTCATCATGACAGCTAGTATATTTCATTAACAGAGCGCACTGTTAAAGCACACACTGAGGAGCAGATTTTGCAAACATTATGGAGAAGAAGCACCAATGTTCAGCCGAAGCATGAAAAAAGAGACCTGAGTGGCAGGAAGGGTTGTAAGTTGCCCTCAATATCAACAAATAGAAGTTTGAGACAGCATGCTGTGCTTTAGAAAGCAGCCAATGCCCAGACCTAAACAGCAGAGGGAAATGAAATGAAAGACCAAATCACAGGACATAGAGCATCAATACACAGTAAATTTTGAAAAACCTGAGAATTGAGGGTTTTGCTGTGTCTCTGGAGTCTAATGATGTCTCCAAGGGATGAAGTAAAAGGAAATGAGCAAGAGAAAGGTAAGAATTTTAGAATGTCTACTGAGGAGATAAATGGGGAGACTAGAGAACAGAAATCTGAAAAAGCAGCTACAAAGGTGGAAGAAAACCAAGAGAAGAGCCATGGAAGACAAGGAGGAGTGTGAGTCAAAATAGGCTAACAAAAGCAGCAAAAAATTGAAGGAAAAATGGAGTTTAGATATCAAGACTTTCCCAAGGAAAGAGCTTGGAAGAACTGGTTGTTTAAAGAGCAGAAGAGGGCAGGGAAAGATTCTGCATCATACCTCTTATGTCTTATGTCAGGGTAATCAGGAGTGTATTTAGAAAGGAGCCTATGATGTAGAAGTTGTAACCAAGCTATTTGAGGAGTTAAGTCAAGAGGTAAATGGAAAAGTAGCAACAAATGATAGACTAAGGGTAGACTATAGAGAAGGTCTAAGATGTAGATGGAGTTTGAACAAATCCAGGATGAGTCAGGAGAAGGTTATGTAATAGCAAGTGCGAGAACAAAAGAAATTGGTAGCCATATAGACAGAGGCTCAGGGAAGGCAGAGGAGGTGGAATTACAGAGTGGTGTTAGGATTCATCTGAGCAAAAGTGCATACTTCAAGGACATAACCAGTCTCGTCCTAGTGCAAACATTTAAAAGTAGGTACGATGAATCATACACTAAAAATGTCAGTTTCCCTCCATTAACTATAAAAGTAGAAGTCCAGATGTAAGCATTGTCAATATTTAAACTTATTGGTTTAGGAGAGAGGGGAGAAGAAGAGAGTACCTGAAGGGAAAGGTGGAAAGAGTCAGAACATGAGATGAAAGAAGGTGTCGAGGGGAAGCAGGATGTAGAAGAGATCTTAAGACTTCTGTAAGACTTCTGCCAGGCAGAAAAAAAGGGCTGCAATCAATATCCAAGGTCCCAGTCAAAGATGTTTTTACTTTCAACAGGTACAGCTCCCTCCCTAGAAACCTAGGAAATGACAGGCTCTCGCAGCTGTAGGTAGACCCAACTTGTTCTGTTCATGCTGACACCAGAATCATCAGTGGGCAGATGGGTAGTGAAGAGACATGCATCCTGGCCAGACATAAACTATTTTTGCTTCAGGTGCACCTGGATACAGGTCTAGCAGAGAGACTAAATGGCTTAAAGACAGCCTCAAGTGAACATGATTAAAGTACTTCTAGAATCGAACTTAAAAGTCACCATTTAGGTTATGAGCTGGAACACATGGATTCACTGCTCAGGTCTTTGCTAGTCCTGGAATCTCTGCATCTGGTCAACATGACCTAAACTGCACCATCTGGATAGTTGAGAATGAGCAATGCTTCTCCACTCATAAACAACAATTTTAAACAAACAGAACTTTCTTGGGGGAATAGGCCAAAGAAGAGGAACATAACACTAACTTGGAAAAGCTAAATAATTACCAGTTGAAAAGGCTCTCCTCTTCCAGGATGCTCTGGCAACAGCGCTCAGCCTTTCCTTCTCCTCTAGCTAGGGCTGGCTGCTGAGGAAGTCATTACTATATCTTCCTTGTTATACCACTACCAGCTCAATGTCCAGGCTTGGAGGCATTCAGGGACATGGAATTTCCAGGGCTTTTACTACTGAGTCTAGCTGAAATCACCGGTCAGGAAACACAAACAAGGACCAAGAAAAAAGAGCAGCTACAGTTCCTGCCATCGCTGAGCTGCCAAGAGTTTTGCAGCCCTCCAGAGTGGGGTGGAGCTCAGTAAGACTAATCAGGAATAAAAACAGACAGCAATGTGGTTTGCCAATGAGTAAAAGTCCCCCTACACTGATTTCATAGGGAGGTACATATCCGAGCTCCTGAATTAGACTCGTTTAGGCCCAGCCTCATGTCAGTTCTTCTCCCCTTTAACTGACAGTTCTGCAGCATCTCTGCAATGCGAATGGAAACCTATAGCCCGTGGTGACACTTCCACCAATTCCTCTCCAATACAGGGAACATCCTGGAAATGCCTTCTTCCTTCTCATCCTCCTTCTGCTCTGTGCCTTTTCTGGGAGTCCCTTATCCTCCCGTTACAGGGTCTCTCAGTCAGACATTTTGAAATGTTGCATTCAAATGCAACATCAAAAAAAATCGTGCTTGAAGACAAAAAGTTCCAGATTGTTATGTAAGAGATATGTAAATGAGGCTTTAGCTATCCAACTAACATTTCACTTTTCCAAAAGATGTTGGTAGATTGCTCCTTTCTTTGGGGGCATTCTTGCTTATTTGGATGTTCTGGTGGAGGAACTGCTTTTCACCCTCCCAGCAGCTGCTAGCAATGCCATTCCCACTCATTTCTGGTTTCAAGCTGCCACACGCATAGGGCAAAGCAGGGAAGTGTCACGATTAGTGAACGAATAGAAAGAAGGAACATGGCAATGCTTAACAAAGAGCAAGCAGCGAGGCATGAAGGAAGCAACTGAAATGACTGTTGTTGTCCATCAGTAACTTCAGTAAATGTTGCAGGCAGCACAAAAAGTAGACTTCATTTCCTTGCTCCACCAGATGCCACAGCACAGGTGGCACATGCAATGGCCCGTCCTTGATGGATACTCAAACAAGCCCTAAGATTACATGTAGATGCTGCAGGTGGTAGACTGGATTCTAATGGGAGCTGTAAATAAATACATTTGCTGGACCTCGGGGCTCAGGATTCGTCAGTTGTGATATAAAATGGTTTGCAACCATAAGCAGAGAGCATGAGCCTTTAGAGAGGAGGCAGGTAAGCTAGGTGAAAAGTAAGGACTCCTGCAACAGCCTAGATGTCACTGGAGCAGCTAGGATCGTGACCTTGGCAGGCAGCGGTCCTGTCCCCAGGTGCTGCAAGCTGGGCTCGCGCTGACGTCAGTGGAAGTTCAAGGCACTTAACACCTCCACGGCCTGGGCCAGGAGAACAACTTCCAGAAGGAAACTATCTTGAAAAAAAATCATGTGCTGTTAAACGTAGCATGGATACAAAAGGGCAGAGCAGTGCATGTTGCAAAACGTATCTTCCTTAGCGCACAGTATCCGCAAGCTGCAAGCTTTTTCAGTCTTGGCTCTCTCTTCCCACTGTCTTATCTGTTATGATGTTGGCACAGAGCTGAGTCCGGCGGGACCGTAGAGCTGGAACAAAACAGTAAATGTTCTCCAGGTTTTCTTTTCTTACAGAATTCCCTAACTCCCAACCTACTTAAGGGGGAGCCATGAGCTAAAGTAAAATTATAGTTTTGTCTTCTTCTCAAGCCAGATATCTCCAGAGGGAATTCTGCTTGCATTGTACTTTTTCTCCAGGACTACTACCACCACTACAGCACCTTGCATGGAAAACAGATTCTTTCTGCTCCCTGTTGAAGGTTTCAATTAACAAAGGTAGATTAAATGAACAGCTTTTAGTCAATTCAATTTTGCTGTTCTTTACCAGTACTTCAATGCACTGGAATTTCATATTTAATCTTTTATAGCCAGTCTGAACATTTATATAATGTTATAAAGTCTGCAGCTGTTATATGTGATCTGGCAAAGAAAGGACAGAGTATGTTTACAAAAAAAAAAAAAAAACAAAAAACCTATATCCACTTATTTATTTTTAGAAATGCAAAGATTCCAATTAAAATAAAGTTTAATCAAATAAAAATCTTGAATGAGACTGTCTCATTTTAAACTTCTGTGGCTCCCTTTGAGTTATCTCAAAGATGATTTGAAACATTTTTAGCAGAAAAACTATGAAAGTATTGCTTTCTGTACAAGACAACAAGAAGTTTAAAGAATTCTATGGCTTTCAGTGGGTCTTCTTTTCTGTTCTCTGTTGTGTTTGAATGCCTCAGATGCCTCCACTCTGGAAGCCAAGGGCAAAGCAATTCTATCTTCTTAATTTAGGAAAGAGGATTTAAATACACACACATATATGTATGTATCTATGCAATAGATACCATATCCTACCACAGATGCCTAATCCTACATATCTATATATATCTTTATTAATACAGATATAGATAAATTATTATATAGGTGAGATAGATAGACAGACAGAGAGACAGATAGATAGATTGATGGATAATGCAGGATATGGCACGCATTGCAGCTCAAAGCTATCGCTGGTATTGAGAAGTGATACTGAATGGACTTCCAGAGCTGGATACTTTTCTGTTATGTGTTATCATTGCATTCACTATCTACTTCTTGTTTGTTTATTCAGTTTTCATTACAAGAAAATCCCAATAGATCCTCCCTTCTCCTTTACTATAGCGATAATGGCCAGAATTTAAAAAAAAAAAAAAAAAAAAAGAACAGCTATATTTCTCATCTACAGCCTGACCTTACTCAGTGTTATTAGAGGTCAAAGATACTCAGTATGATATGGAGTTGCTCCCCTATGGCATACATGTAAAAACCCCAGGACAAGATCTCTGGATCCAGCACAGAAACTGAGACATGGGTATGTGACTTAAGGCTACACCTCTGGTCCTGCAAAAAATATTCCAACAGGGCAAGAAATAAAACAGCCCTAACATCTGCTCTGCATCAACCAAAACAGTTGACTCAGTGAGGGCCTACCCAGCTTGCCATTACAAGAGCACAGGACAGCTCTGGCCTCCTTCTGCCCTTTGGAAATACTCTGTCAGGACAGGAGAGCTGGGAAGAGGTGGCCTCCGCTGTGCTGGCTGACAAAGAATGTACTACTTTGGGAATCTCTCCAGCCTCCATTCCCTTCAGATCCCTGGAAAAGGACACAGAGATAGAGCAAAGAACAGGACAAAAGAATCAGAAGTAGTCTGTGAACAGAGTGTTTAGGATAGCAGAAAATAAAATCTGATCTCCAGTGTCAGAAATACTGGCAAAGTTTCTTTGTGGATATTCACTGCTGCCTGGACAATATTCACAGGAGTAATCTAGAGGAGAGAGGGAGTATTCCAGCGCAGGCAGTAGGGTATTTCATAATTCTTTATTTAATTAGAGCATTGTAGCTTGAGTCTGATCTCATGGGAAGCACAATGAAGGACTCAATGGCAGCAAGGATCACGCTGCATCCCTTATCTGCTTATGTCCAGATTTCTTCTACATCTGAGTTATTTGTAACAGTGCTG